CTCATCTCCCCTTCTCCTCTCTCTATCTTCTTACTCGCTTTCGCTGGTATTTTTCTCATCTTTGTTTCTCTTCTATTTCATTCATGCAATTAGTGTATCGAGTGGCGTTGTTGCACATTCTTTGTCGTTAATTTTTACCTTTTTTTAGTATTTGCTTTTTGGATCTGGGTTTCCTCTGTTTTACAACCAACTTGTTTATAGAAATTGAAGGCTTCATATTTGGATTGGTGCTCTATTTGCGTTTTAGATATCCTTTTTTTGTGGGTTCTTATTGTACTGATTCGATCCCTACAAACTTCAAAAGATTCTACTTTTGTCCGTGGATTTTTTCTTCTTTTTTCGTGGATCTTGCGTATATATGCTGACAATTATCATATATAATTTTGCGTATATATGCACAATTTTTCGGTTTTTATTCATTATTGACTGTTTTTTAAATGAACTTAAGGTTTTATTTCATCCTTTTTGCGCTCCAGTGCTACAGGTGGGGCCTCACAAGTGGTAGCGGTGACAACCCATCCCTCCTTTGTTTGGCTTCATGGTATTTTGTGTGTATTTCAGGTTAGAGCCCGTGGCTACTAGCGGAGAACGGGACGTGCGTGTGCAAGCATTAAAGAACAACCCGAGCAAGTGTCAGCAAGGGGCGGCGGGAGTTGGTACCACCCGTTTTCCTTTTACCCTTTGTTGTGTTAGTTAAATTGCTGTCATTTTACTTCGTATTAGTTTATTCACCGTATTAGTGTGCCTGTAGTTGCAACTTGTCTTATTCTAGTTTGGTTTGTTGCCTTGTGTGTGTTAGTGATTCCCATTAGTCTGCCATAGGTATAGTGGTTGTGGTCTGGGATGGTCGAGTGAGGTCATGTCCTCGGGGGGAGCGGGAGGTAGGCAAGGATTAAGGGGTAGGTCGGGAGGCAAGTGAGGTAACGGCAACAAGGGTGTCTATAGGTTGAGAATTGGGTCATGGAACGTAGGTACATTGACGGGTAAGTCTATAGAGTTAGCGAAGATTCTCCAAAAGAGGAGGGTCAATATAGCATGTGTCCAGGAGACAAGGTGGGTAGGGTCGAGGGCATAGAACGCGAACGGGTACAAGCTTTGATACTCAGGAGTCCAGAGAGGTAGGAATGGAATGGGTATCTTGGTGGATAGGGATCTTAGAGAGTCTGTTGTTGAGGTTAGACAAGTGAACGATAGATTGATGATTATTAGTTGAGGTTAGATGAGAGAATGATAGATTGATGATTATTAAGCTGGTGATTGGAGAGTGCACCCTAAACGTTGTTAGCGCCTATGCGCAGCATGCAGGCCTAGATGAGGATGTTAAACGGCGCTTCTGGGAGGGTTAGATGAGATTGTGCGCCAGATTCCGCCTGCGGAGAAGCTATTCATAGGAGGGGATTTCAATGGTCATATTGGGACGACCACAGGTGGTTATGCCGAGGTGCACGGAGGCTTCGGTTTTGGGGAGAGGAACGGAGGAGGTACCTCGATGTTGGACTTCGCTAAGGATTTTGGGTTAGTGATCGCAAACTCTAGTTTTCCGAAGGGGGAAGAGCATTTGGTTACTTTTCAAAATACGGTGGCGAAGACTCAGATTGACTATCTTCTCCTCATTAGGTATGACAGAGGGTTGTGCAAGGATTGCAAGGTGATTCCGGGTGAGATACTCGGGACGCAACATAGGCTCTTGGTGATGGACATTGGTATTATATTAAAGAGGAGAAAAAGGTAAGCTCGAGGAAGACCGAGGATTAGGTGGGGAGCCTTAACTAAGGATAAAGCCCAAGAGTTGGAGGGACGATTGTCGGCTATGGGAGCTTGGAGGAGCAGTGGTGACGCGAGCACTATGTGGTCAACGACAGCAGACTGTGTAAGGGAGGCTGCGAGAGAGGTGTTAGGGGTCTCGACGGGCGTCTTTGGTGGGCAGAAAGGAGACTGGTGGTAGAATAAGGTGGTCCAAGGTAAAGTGTAAGCGAAGAAGGCGGCGTACCTGAAGTTAGTGGGGAGCATAAGTGAGTAAGAGAGGCGAGCGTGCATGGAGAGCTATAAGGTAGCTAGTTAGGAAGCTAAGTTGCTGGCGGTCACAGAGGCTAAGACTGCGGCTTATGGTCGTATGTACAAGGAACTTGGGGGAAAAGGTGAGGAGAAGAAGCTATTCCGGCTGGCCAAGTTGAGAGAGAGGAAGGCTCGGGATTTGGACTAAGTGAGATGCATCAAAGACGAAGATGGTAGAGTATTGATGAAAGATGTACAAATTAAGAGGAGATAGTTGACTTACTTTCATAAACTTCTGAATGGAGAATGGGATCGGGACATTGTTCTAGGCGAATTGGAGCATTCTGAGAGCCACCGTGAGTTTGGGTACTGCAGGCGTATCAAGGTGGAGGAGGTCGTGAGAGCTATGCGTAAGATGAGTAGGGGCAAAGCGACCGGGCCAGACGAGATTCCGGTGGAAATTTTGGAAGCGTGCAGGGAGAGCAGGTTTGGAGTGGATGACTGAGTTGTTTAATGTTATTTTTAAGGCGAAGAGGATGCC